CAGATGACATAGCACGTGCGTCAGAGCAATGCTCATCTGACCACGACAATGTCACCAAGAACTGACTCAATGATGATGCAGCTAGTGAAGAACGAGAAGCATAATGGAACTATTCTTCTATCTCCGAGACGTTCCATGGCACGAGATGACATATCACGTTCGTCAGAGCAATTGTCATCTGACCACGACAAGGTCACCGAGAACTAAGTCAATGATGATGCAGCTAGCGAAGAATGAGAAGCAGCAGACTATTTGTCTATCTCGTAGATGTTCCATGGCACCAGATGTCATTTCTATTTCGTCAGAACAATGCTCATCTGAGGAAGAGGAGGTAACCGGCAGCTGAGTCCATGATGATTGAGCTGGTGAGGAATGCCGATCAGCAGACTATTTATGTATCTCCTAGATGTTCCATAGCACCGTATGACATTTCACTTTCGTCACAGCGATGCTCGTCTGAGGACGACGAGCTTAGCAACAACTGACTCAAGGATGATGCAGCTAGTGTGGGGTTCCAAAGATTTCACTGTGGATCTATCTCCTAGATGTTGTTTGGCAGCAGTTGACAGTTCACTTTCGTCACAGCAATGCTCATCTGACAACGACGAGGTCACCACTACTGACTCAATGATGATGCAGCTAGTGTAGAATTCCAAGGATTACACTGTACGTCTATCTCCTAGATGCTGCGTGGCACCAGATGACATTTCGGTTTCGTCACATCAATGCTCATCGGATGGAGGGTATTGGCGAGGTGGGAAAGGAAATTTGGCGTGGGTGTGGGTTGTTGGTTATCGAGTAGTTTTAAATAAACATAGGTTTTGGTTGCGGTTTCCTTGACTTCCATAATTGTAAATGCTGTTGGTGGTGGTAGTAAAACTTCTTCTTCGTCGTAATTGGAGAGGTGCGATATGTCTAAGCCGCTGTTTTTGGTCGCGTCGATTATGAATAGGGTATTGCCGAAGGTTTGGGCTTTTTGAGGATTTTTGCTAGTTGAGGTAAAGCCGCTCCAGCATCTGTTCTGGCCGGTGGCTTCGGCATATGATTTTAGCGTGTTCTGATCGATGTTTACACCTCGATACAGTTCCGCTGCGTGTTTCGTATCGGTGGTTATCCAGCTTCTGAATAGAATGTAACAAAATGGTCCCAGAGTGTTTATTTTGCTCGTGTCGGTTTCTCTCAGTGCTTTATTTATTAGTTTATATAGAAAGCATTCCATTGTGTATAGCTGAATACAACACTTGTAAATTTCTTCTCTTTTTTTGTTTTTCACGGCTATTATTTGGCGTGCTAGATATTGTGAGTCAGAATGTTGACCTAGTTTCGTTCCTTCGATAATTATTCCATTCGCTGCCTGCTCTACTATTTCAGGGTCAGAAAGTTCCTTGTCTTTCTTCCACTGTGAAAGAAAAATATAAGCTTCTTTGCCCCAGTCATCAGTGAACGTTTTACTCAATTCTGGTGTGAGAAAGAATCTTTCTTCTCTTAAACCTTGACTTTCATTTCTACTAGTTAGAACCCGTTTTATTTGCCGTTGTTTATTTGGATCCGATTTACTGATTTGAATGGAATCGTTTAAGTTAATCGAATAATTATCCAGTTCAGCTAGTTTTGTTTTATTCTTTTGATTAAATGCTTCTTCGATAATCGCTGATTCGATATCAGAATATTTTGTCCATTCTTCATTTCCATTTGTTGACCATGGATCAGAATTTGATTTCCAATACCATTGAGCTCGTGGTTGATCAGCTCCGTTTATTGCCTGACTTACCATTTATTAGGCTGTTTGGAACTGATGGGCCCTAGAAACGTCCTCTAGAAAAGACATGGGACAGGTAGCAGGATATTCTGTAATTGAAGAAACACTTCTTCAGCTTTTTAAGATCAACTCTGATTATGTTTACATTCTATTCATTAGTGAAACTGATACTTGTTTTTGCAGTTTAGTACATAGTAAAAGTGTAACGAATACATCTGGAACAGAAAACAAAACGTTTCAACCAAGGCATCTTCTCTATGATTTAGATAGTACCCAGGCCGATGATTCCGAAGATAAGTTCCTGAAAGATCAGTTAGTGAATATTGTTACTTGTCGTTAATGTTTTTCGCGACGAAGTACACGAAATGAAGTTTATTTCGATGAAATAATATCGCAGAGTTTGTTGACACAGAGAAAATATTAAGGCACATATTTGTTTTATTCTCAAAATTTTATCTTTAGAAATGTAGCAATGCATAGTGAATACAAATGATATTATCGAAGTATACTTTAAGTGTTCTTTGCATACATATATGCATAGGTTTTATTTGCTTTTTGATAATTCTCCTTGTTCTTCTTCGAAAACATATTTCATAATAACAGAACAGAAAAATCAGTTATATTCAAATATGTATTGTAATCTTCTTCTCTGTTCTTTGTCAACAAATGTTATGATATAATATTTCGTCGAAATAAACTTCATTTCGTGTACTCCATCGCGAAAAACATTAACGAAAAGTAACACTATTCACTAACTACGTGATTTTGAATTGAGAAAAAAAATTATTTTTGATCATACAGGAGGATCACACTCCAAAGTTCAGGGGCCCGATCACCTCTGCTCTCATCAGATTTCCTTATTTATATTCTTAAATTTTTAGTTTTAGGTTATGTGTCTTTTCACCTAGAAATCGAAGTTTTTAGCTTCTTAACTAGATTTCTCTGAGTTATTCAAGGACGACCTGAAGGATTGTATCACCCTTCAAAAAAACCTGATTTTCTCTGGAAAGAAGAGAAATAAAAACAAAAGCCCACGTCACTGTTATTGTGGTCATATGACAGCTCGACTGACGTAAGATTTAAACGTTTATCTTTTGTCCAGTCGGAGTTATTAACTTTGTAATCGAAAGATGTCGCATTCTTCTACATATTCGAAATCAGCGTCGAAAACTGCGTCGAATGGTGTATGATTTGTCACAAAAAAAATTTTAACTCGATCTTTGAATTGTGGGCACCTACTACAACCTACTATTCTTGTTCGAAACTCGTACTCATTTCCGACATTTCGCTTAAAACAGTTTGGAAAAATACCTAGCTCCAATTTGTAAGCAATATCTTTACAAATTAGAACTAGGTATTTTTTCAAACTGTTTTAAGCGAAATGTTGGAAATGAGCATGAGTTTCGAACAAAAATAAACTCTGCAGGGGGAAAATGGTACAAAGATAAAACCATCTAAGCAATTATGATTAAGGAAACCTGAAGGATGTTTTGTAAATTTGTTTATCGAAAATAAAAGTTGTCAAATTTCTTGACATGATATTTGGGTAGAAAGCACTTAAATAAATCTACTTCACTTACTTTTCCTCTATTATAAGCAGAAAAGCTAGGCACCAACTAGAAGTTCTTTCACCATTTCTAGTATAGTAGAATCATGTAGAGCTTTTTTGTTTATGTTTTGAGCATTTGCTGGTTTATTTTCATACATGTACCGATGATGAATTATACTACATATTAAACAGATATTAGATGAATCATAAAAATTAAGGTATTGGATCAACTAAAAGCTTCTAGTTAGGGTCATGGATACACAGTGGAGCTTTTTTTATAAAAGTGCAGAGCTTTGCTTAAATATTACTGAAACATTGTTGAAACACTGTTAGAACATTACTTAAACATTGTTGAAATATTACTAAGCTTTTCTCATTGATCACGTGAAATGCGTTCTTTTACACGTGACAGAAGTAGAAATCTTTATTTCTTATGTTTTTTCATTTCTGCACACACTACAATGAAAATTTTCTTCTCTATGTTCTATAATTTTTCGATTTTTCTTTTTCCGGTGTAAAGCACAGGAAAGAAACAAAGACGTACAATGTGAACGCAGTCTAACATTGCTTATTTGCTACGGCTCTAATAGTATATGTAAAGAAAGAAAGAGAACGAACGAACATATGTGGATAAAATCATTATGGCATAGCTAGGCACATCCATAACAAACGAGAAAGACATTGTGACTTTCATTGATAACTTTAAACACACACTGCATTTACTATAAACGATGGTGAATTTAATGACGAAAAAATTTTCATCCTAAGTGTTTTCCTTATGGAATAAAGTTAGATGGAAAAATATGGCTAAAATTAGAGTAATTTCGGAAACGCTAGATTTTCTTTTTTTGAAAAAGTTAAAAACTTGAGGTTCCACGAGCGTTTTTTTCTGTAAAGAGCCGGATTTAAAAAAGCTTTCTGCAGTAAAATTTTTATCGAATAAGGATATTTTTCGAATTCGACTTTTTTAACTTCTATTAAGACAGGATTTGCCATACCAGCGAGAAAGCGGTCACTTGAAAATTTACAACCTGTACTTTTTATATGGGGCTTCGATTCTACACATGAAACTATGAGAATGAAAAACCTTTTAGACTTTTAGACCTTATTTTGACTGAGTTACAGAAAAGTTCCGTGAAGTCGTTCGAAGGTTTCTCGAAAAAGCACTGTTTCAAGCAGTTTGCAAATAACTCCATCAAATTTTGTTTATTCTATTCGACCGATATCTCATCCAAAAGAGCATATAAAACTGCATTGCTCGAGCTACTTTTTCATTTTTTAGACGTGAAACTAAATTTTTATCATTCACGTGCAGTGAAAAGTCATGATTTTGAATAGTGAAATTCTCCGCGTAAAACGTAATTATCTCTCGACCGTTAGGCTGTCGCAGTCTTTAGTCTGCAGTCAATTTAGTTTCATGTCTAAAAAATGAAAAAGTAGCTCGAGCAATGCAGTTTTATATGCTCTTTCGGATGAGACATCGGCCGAATAGAATAAACAAAATTTGATGGAGTTGTTTGCAAAATGCTTGAAACAGTGCTTTTTCGAAAAATCTTCGAACGACTTCACGGGACTTTTCTGTAACTCAGTCAAAATAAGGTCTAAAAGTCTAAAAGGTTTTTCATGTGTAGAATCGAAGCCCCTTATAAAAAGTATAAGTTGTTCTCTCCATTTTTCTAGCTACACTTCATAAAGAAAGTACGTAATAACAAATAGCTATTTATCGAATTAGGTTTCTTCTATCTCTACTAGTGTATCGACCACCGGTATCGAAGATCTATCAAATGAACTATTTTACGAAATATTTGAATATCTCGATGGTTGCGATATTTACTAAGCATTTTCAAATCTTAATTTTCGTTTTCAACACCTTATAATTTCTTCACCACTTCCACTTAAGATTAAACTTGATTCTACGTCAGAATTAGAAATTGAACGTTATCATAAAGATGTTATTATCCAAAATCAACATCGTATTCTTTCACTTTATTTTGAAGATGAATTAGTCATTAATGATTTTTTCACACATTGTATTACTGATTCGTCATTTCACCGTCTTGAATCCGTTGTTCTCGGTGAAGAGTCACTCGATCGGCTGGTGATATTATTCTTTTACTTAAAGTCTCTTGCTCGACTCGTTTCATTAACTATATATATCGAAAATAAGTGAAGCTGTGGTCTTGGTGATATTTATCGATTAACTTTCTGTTTTCCATCCTTGAAATATAATAAATTGTGGTTTAACTCAGACGATGACGATAAAGAATTGGATGCCTTCGTTGTCCTTACCAGCAACGAGCGATTCAGTTCTATTGAATACCTAAATATCGATCACAAGTGCACATTTAATGAACTTTTTCTATACTTCAACATACACCACAACTCCGTCATTTAATTTATAAAAACTTGATAAAATCGAATACCAATATTGATTTCCAAAAATTAGTGGCATTATCCAACTTGACATATCTTCGTATTGATAACTGTGAAATAGGTTTTGATGAATTTGAAATATTCGTAACAAAGTTATCTGCTCAATTGCAAATACTGAATATTGAACAACACTTGTGTGACGGTTGTCTTGATGCTGGTCAATGGAAACGATTAATTATACAGCATATACCTCACTTATGTCGATTCTACTACAAATTAGATGGAGCATTTGGTCTTGACTATGAACACATCCTTTTGATTTTGAAATCAATCGGTTCACATCCACATTTTGGATCGAACGACAATAGTTCTTTGAAATTATGACTGATTTTGATGAAGTGATCTGTCTAATCCGTCCATTCAGGTAAACATTGAAAAGAGTGGTTTTTATCGAAAAATTCACCCTTTTTTTCAGAAAATCATGGTTTGACTCCTATGAATCGGTGAAAATTGCCACATGTTTTGATCAAAATCCCGTTCGTAGTTTGACTCGAACGGTCACGATTCCTAACCGGCAAGGTACTTTCAGCTCTTCAAATCAGCTTGGTCCAATTATTCAACGTAGTATTGATGGCATATATACCTACGAACAAAATTATTTGTTTATGGATAAGTTCAGGTCCCTTTTTGTTCCTGTTCAATTTACTCGTTTGACTATTAACTGCAACAATATTTGTAGTGGAACATTTCTTAAATTTATACAATTGTTATCTAATCTTGATTCATTGACAGTATCATCTTTATCGCCAATGGAATCGGGTTGGTTGATTGACGGTGATACAGAGAACCTTTATTTAATTTCAATTAATAATAAAATTACAAAAGTTAGTCTTCAAGATATGGTTAAACTTGAACAAGTGAATTTTCTTGTCCATCTGTGTCTTTGTATAGAATACTTTCAAGCAAATGTTCCTAAGGACATGGATCGGTTTCTGTGTAGTTTATCAGTTTATCGGTTTCTGACTCTTAGTTTTTAGTGAACAACTAAGAGTCAGAAACCGAATATTCAACACTAAAAAGTGAAAGTTCGATA